TACATGGTCGTTTTTTTTGTCTAAAAACGCCTTAATATACATGGTCATTTTCTTTGGCTAAAAACGCCTTCCTATACATGGTCGTTTTTTTCGGGCTAAAAACGCCTTCCTATACATGGTCGTTTTTTCGGGCTAAAAACGCCTTACTATACATGGTCGTTTTTTTTTCGGCTAAAAACGCCTTACTGTACATGGTTATCTTTTTTGGGCTGTAAAAACGCCTTACTATCCAGGGTTGTCTTTTTTTTGGCTTAAAATCTTACTAAACATGGTCGTTTTTTGTGGGTTAAAAACGCCTTAGGGCTCAAAACGCCTAAGTATATGGCCGTTTTTTAATGATTTAGTAAAAATGGTTGTGTTTTGAAAAAATGTCTTGCTATACAAGGTCTTTTTTTTAATGCCTTGCAATCCATGATCTGTTATTTTAACGGCCAACTCAACAAGGTTGTTTTCTTTTTGAACACCTGACTCTAATTGGTCTTTTTTTTTTTTCAACACCTTACTTACCATGTACATGTGGCGGCACGATGGATGACTGGTTGGCACCTCAGCCTCACAGTGCAGAGATGCAGGGTTCGATTCCTGCTCCATCCTTCCTGTGTAGAGTTTGTGTCTGCGTGGGTTTTCTCTGGGTGAAACAACAAACAAACAAACAAACAGAAAACTGCCTTACTATACATGGTATTTTTCATTCAATTAAAAAGCGCCTTTCTATACATTGTCTTTTTTTAACGTCTTACTATACATAGTCTCCATTGAAACGCCTTACTGTGGAAGATTGTTTTCTTAAACGTCTTATTATTCTTGGTCATCTAAAAATAGGCCTGACTATTCATGGTCTTTTTTTAGCGCCTTCGTAAACATGGTTGCTTTCTTTAAATGACCCGTGTATAGTCAATACAATACAATATATCCTAATTTATATTGCGCTTTCACAATACCAGTCAGCCGTTAAAAAAATAATAATAATTTAAAGAAAGGCTTTTTTTTTTTTTAATTTAAAACACCATGTATGCTAAGGCGTTTTTAATTTAATTAAAAACACTCTGTACAGCAAGGCGGGGTTTTTTTTCCATTAAAAACACCATGTATTGTTTCGCAAAGCGTTTTTTTGAACGACCAAATATCGTAAGGCGATTGTGAAAACAACAAACACATAAGTGGGGTCGGAAATATTTCACTCTGATTTGACTGCGCACTGTTGTGTTTTTTTAACCAGAAATCCAAATGAGACTTTATATTTATATTTGCACTTGGTTGCAAACCAGAAATGTCAAGTCTTAACCGGGGATTTTCGTCATTAGTACGCTTCTTGCGTACCGCACTACACCCACAGCACTTGCCTGCTCTGGAGCTTTCGTTGGGTTTCTGCACGCAAAATCTTCGGTTGAGGTCACATTTTAAGGCTTTTCGGGGACAAAGGCAGCGTAGCTTTCAATTTTTCGTATGACCGGGTGGCCATGATGCCGGAAGGGATGAACTTCTTGCCGCATCTGTGCGCTCCACTCGATGAATACACACGTGCGAACGTCTGCGATTCACTTGCAGGCGTGACGTCACGTCGGCCAATCCGAGCAACTTTCTTGTTCAGCGGCGCCTTAAAACTCCACCCGCTTACCTGTCATGATGACTGCTTTGGCTTACCGTGGAAATTGTTGCTCCAATTTCACCCCATCAAAAAAAAAGTGATACACACGCCACAAAGTACAGCAGACTTGTCGTTGCAGACAACTGTCGTTTTAGGCGCTACGTTGTCGCCATATCCAGGGCAGTATGAGAAATGGTGTCGATGACAACTTCCGGGAATACAAAATAAATAAATATATATATATTTTTTTATTATTTTTCCATTTATTTCCTGTGCTATATTCAATTTTCGTTGTACGAATTGAAAATGAACGTGTTATTAGGCTTTCCATTTCTTGTAACAGACAACAAACGTGAAGATCAAGCTGTATTTCAATGTTGGTGTTTCGATATTGAAATAAAAATCCAATTATTGGTTATTTTTCCATTTTTAATATCTGCTTCCATACATACTATCTAATGACCAAAAGAGACGCGGCCGCTATAACATTCTCTTCTTCTCTGATGCAGAATTACAGCCTCGGAGCTGAAGGTGCCAGTGCGCGATATCTGCCATCCTGCGGTTAATGTTGGTATTACATATTTTCATAGCGCAGCAACAGTGAACGTTTTTATTTTCAAAAAGTAACCGAGGACCACCCGAGTGTGGGTTTGTGAAACCCACGTCAAACATGTTCGTGTTTTGTCAGCGCTAAAGGTATGCATGCTACGGCCACTAGAGGGCGCCAAAGAGCCACGTTGTTGTTTGTGTGTCCAGCAGGGGGCCTCATGGATGCAGGTGAGAGATATGAAAAGTTGTTTCAGAATTTTCCTGAAGCCATTTTTTTCTATTTTTCCTGCTGTGCAGCATCTGGCTTTTTTTTTTTTTTTTTTTTGCCATACATCTGCTTCAGATTACCTTTAGTGCATCCACGTGATATTTTGCACCTTTTTTCCACCACACCCATGAAACTTCACAGCACAGTCCACTCCAGCACAACCGGTCCACACCTCAGGATCTTATTTGATATTTTGGGAATACGTATATTTATTATTTAATATTTCATCTTTTTCATCTTTTTTGAGTATCTTGTGTGCGGGATGTCTTCGGTGTGTCGGCAGGCATGCGGCAGTTTGTCCAGCTTGGCGGGCTGGGTGTGCCTCATCGTCGCAACGGCGACCAACGATTGGGTGCGCACCTGCGACTACAGCGTGGCCACCTGCGTGCGGATGGACGAGCTGGGGTCCCGCGGCCTCTGGGCCGAGTGCGTCATCGCGCCCGCGCTATACCACTGCACCGCTCTCAACCAGATCCTCAATCTGCCCGGTAACCGACGACGCCTACCATCGTCGTGACATCATCAGCATCATCACATCATGTTGTCACGATCACGTGAATCTAGTACCGCGTGCGTGCGATTAGGATAAGTGCATTTCGTGTGTGTCTTTTGTGTGACTTGAAGTTCACGTGTGTGTGTGTGCTTTGAAGTTATGCCTGTACACGAGTGTGTTCAAGTTGTGTGTTGTCGCTGCTGTGTGGTTGCGTGTCAGCCCACGTGCAGGCATCCCGTGCCATGATGGTATGCGCGTGCCTGCTGGGTCTTCCTGCCATGTTGTTGGTGCTCACGTCCACTTCCTGCGTGCGTCTGCCTCATGACTCCAACGCCAGCAAGAAAAGGAGGGCCAGGGTGGGCGGAGGCCTCATCCTCCTCATGGGTGAGGGGATGCGTGTGTTTCTTTGCGTCTTTCGGCGGGTGTGTGTAAGTGAACTTGTGAAGATTTACACAAGCGTGTGCGTTTGTAGCCGCGCTGGGCCTGGCGTCCACCGTGTGGTTCCCGGTGGGCGTCCACCAGGACAAGGGTCTGATGTCCTTCGGGTCGTCGATGTACTGCGGCTGGGCGGGCGTGGCGCTCTGCCTCCTAGGCGGTGGCATGGTCCTCTGTTGCTATGGCGACGTAGACCCCCGCGCCTTCGCCAGGGAGAGCAGTTTCTTCTACTCCAGACAGCGAAGAGGAGGAGGAGGAGGAGGAGGAGGCACCGCCGTCATGGTGGACGCGCCCGCCAACCACGCCAAGAGCGCCCGCGTGTGAGAGTGGCAAGATGATTTTTTTTTCTTTTTTGGGGGGGGTGGGGCATGAAAATATCTAATAAGTAGAGCCTCGCGCACAACATGTCAGAAATTGTCTTGTCATGATGAGGTGTTGTGGGTTGAACATATGATGCATTTCGCCTCGCTTTGTACTCTCACATAAAATAAACTTTTGGGACTTTGAAAAGTGATGTTTTATTTTACACAAGGAAAAAAAACACAAGCACAACAACATCAACATTCAAAGGAGGGAAGAAAAAAAAACATCAAAAGTCCTCAAACTCAACGATAAAAATTTTCAAACAAGCTGGAGGCTAAAACGGTGCTAGCCACCTCGCCTCAGATGTTACCAAAGAGAGCTTTTTTGTGTGTGTGTGTGTGTGTGTGTGTGTGTGTGTGTGTGTGTGTGTTTGCATGTGGACACCTTTTTTTCTTCTTGTGGTCAATGGCCATGTCCATCGTCAAAGCCGTAGTCGTTCATCCCCCTCGCCCCCCTGCCGCCTCCTCCTCCACCTCTCTGGTATCCAAAATGGCCGCCGTCGTCGTGATCGGGGTGGTCGTCATCATCCTCGCTGGCCCCCCCGTCGTAGGCGTGGTTCCGGTAGTCCCACTCCTGGCGGTCGGCCCAGCCCCGGTAGGGCCCGTGGTCTGGCTTAGTGGGGTCACCCTCGGGGGCAGTGAAGGCGTCATCCAGGTGGTCGTCGAAGCGCTGGTAGGAGCTGGCGTGGGCTTCCTCCTCGCGAGCGCTCACCTCCAGAGAGCTGTGCCACACGCCGTACAAAGCGTAGATCAGCAAACCTGACGGCAGAACCGCAAAACGGAAATAAAATACACACATACGATACAGTACCATAATAAAGTAGCTTATGGACTCACCGATGGCACACCAGATGGCAAAGCGCACCCAAGTGAGCGGCGACAACTTGAGCATCAGGTAGCTGTTGACCAAAATGGCCGCCGCGGGAACAAAAGGCACGCACGGTGCCATGTAGGCCAAGCTCCGCCCACTCTGCGGCTGCCGCACCACGGTGAGCAAAAGCCCGGCCAAGGCGGCCGCCAGCAGCGCCGCCGCCAGGCCCCAAACGGCAGCGCCCGTCCCGGCGCCCTGCTCCACGCCAAAGATGACCGTGGTCCAAAGCAGGAAGGACAGGAAGAAGAAGGCCAGGGTGCAGCGGGTCACCGTGCGACCAGTCCAGGCTGTGGGCCGTGCGGACGGCGCGGGGACACCGAGCCGCGCTAGCAGGGTCGGGTAATGAGCTCCCAGAAGTCTTTGCAGCGGTGACACGGGACCCGTCTGGAAGTCGCCGGGCTCATCTTCACTCCCGCCTTTGTGGTCGGAGGGCTCGTCAAAGGAGGAGCCTGAATATAAGTTGAAAAGACAATGAAGTCTACGTTTGTTTGTACTGAATACAGTCACTTATGTAACGTGGGTTCATGATTGCGTACATGCTAGCATGGTGTTGATGCTTTATGATCCTATCCAATTTCCCGAGGCAATTACAAACCCACAGGCGTCATTCGAAAGGAACTTACAGTCAATGTCCAGGTGGTCTTTGGCAGGTAGACCCTCGCTTTCCGTGTGGTCGGGCTGGTAGCGCAGCAGAAGCACGCAAACGCTGACCAGCGTGTACGCCAACAGCGTGCCGATGGACATCATCTCGATCAGGTCGCGCAGGCTTACCAGCAGAGCCAGAAATGAAGCCAGAGTCCCAGAAACCACGCAGGCCGCCACCGGCGTGCGGGTGATCGCGGACACGTGAGACAGGGACCTGCGCACGATACGAGTCAGACGAATTTTTGTCTGTGCGCGTTGCGCGGTCGCGCTTACCTGAATAAGAGTCCGTCCGTGGCCATGGCGTAGATGACTCGCGGCATCGGGAACAGCGAGCCCAGCAGAGACACGCTAAGGCCGGTGATGGAGCCCGCCGCCACGGTGTACTTCCCAAACAGGAAGCCGTGCGCCGCGAACATTTCCATGAGAGGCGCCGAGCCGTCGATGAGGTCGTACGGAACCATCAGGGTCAGGATCACGCTCACCTGTCACACGAAGGGGGAACTGTAGTAAAGTGGATTTTTCAGATCTCTGTCACATTTCAAAGACTGTATTTTTTTTTTTTTTTACTTTTCCTCAAGTACAAGAGTTGAATCTGTGTTATATTTACCCGAGTATCTGTAATTGTACTGAAGTACAGAATGTAAGTACTTTCAAATACTGACTGACACATATGCGCTGAGGCACGCAACCAGTGAGGCGGTGATGGCATAGGGGATGGAGGTGTTGGGGTTCTGCGCCTCCTCCCCGGTTGTGGCGATGATGTCAAAGCCGATGAAGGCGTAGAAACAGGTCGCCGCCCCCTGCATCACCTGAACGCCAGCCGACGAGCGGACGGACAGAATCAATCATTATTACTTATATACAGGCACGTATACGCGTATCCGTATATATATGTATAAGTATATACGGATACATGTATATGTACTATATATACATATACAGTGATCGCTTGCTATTTCGCGGTTCGTTTATCGCGGCCACGGTGCATCACGGATTTTTGGAGTATTCATAATTTTTTTTTTTTTAAAAAGCAAAAATGCCGCAAAAAGTCCGCAAAAGGTCTGCGAGAGGCAGTGAAAGTCAGCAAAACAACAGTGAGTCACATAGAGCAACATATGCAGTACTACATGTGTATGTTTACCGTATTTTGTTATATAAACACGAACCTAACTTATACATCTTATGCATGTATATATATATATTCGTATATAGCATGTAATGTTAATTACTACAAACATGCATGTGTACCATTAAATTTGGCCTTATAAATATTATTTACACTCATACACATGTACATATACCTTTACGGGGGGGTTCGCTACTTCGCTGATTTTCATTTATTGCAGGTGGTTTCGGTCCCCATTACCCACAATAAACGAGGGATTACTGTATATACACATATATGTACATATGTGTACATATATACACATATATGCACTGATACGCATATACGTAATGACAAATCGTTTTGAACACTCGCCGACAACTCACCCCCGACCAGCCGTAGGGCAGAAACATGCCGCCCTCCCAGTTCTTGGCTGACAGGAAGAAAAGTCCGGCCGTGATGATGAAGACCCAGACCACCATGTTGACCAGGTTCAAGACGTTGTTGAGCCCCACCGAGTTGCGTACGCCGACGGCCACAATCAGCGTCACCAGCAGGACGATGATCATGGCCAGCAAGTCGGGGAACGTGTCCTCACCTTTGCCTGCGGCAAAAACGTGGACGGTCACACGGGAAATTCATAGCACACACACACACACACAGGAGGTTCACTAATGCGTGCACTGACCGAGTCCTCGGAGCGTGCCCAGGTGTGCGATCATGTAGTGGCTGATGCTGTGATTGGCCAGCGAGTCAAACATGCTGCTCAGAGCCGACGCCCCCGCAGCCGTGCCGATCAGGTACTCCAGGATCAGGTTCCAGCCAATCAGGAAGGCCACGAACTCGCCGACGGTCACGTAGCTGTACGTGTACGCCGAACCCGTCGTCTTGGGCACGCGGACGCCAAACTCTGCGTAGCACACGCCTACGGGGACATCGGCCAATCGACGGCCGGGTATAGTCATATACGTCTCACTGCTGAGTCGTACGGCAACTTTGCCGCCATGTTGGAAGTGACAATGGGAAGCATTTATTAGTCGTAAGTGTTTATACATTTAAAGCCAAGTTTACCGTACTGTACTGTCTACGATCCGTCTCACCTGACAAAATGGACGCCGCGGCAGCAATGACGAAAGAGAGAATGACCCCCGGCCCGGCTACAGCTTTGGCAACCAGCCCGGCGACCACGTACATGCCGGTGCCCACGCAGCTGCCCACACCCAGCGAGACCAGGTCCAGGGTGCTCAGGACCTTCGACAGGCCCACAGTGGAACCCGGCGCCATTTCTGTCAGGTCTTCGTCTACATGCCCGCCCCTGTTCGCCATGGCCCCCACCGGCTTGGTGCGCAAAAGCCGCAAGCACGTGTGGTACCAGGCGTCCGACCAGGAAACGCGATGCAGCCATGATGGCATGGCGGCGACGAGGTGTGCGCGGCGGGGGGGGTGTCACTTCCTCAACAATGCCATCTTCCAGGGAAAAACACAGGCGGCAAAATAAAAAACAGATTTTCCTGCCATTAATGTGATCTGTAACCTGTATTACTCCATTGAAAAACATTAAATATTTTCATCAGGTGATGGATGGATGGGAATATTGTGGTTGCAAAAGTATGCACACCCGATTATAACGGAGTATGTGGTTATTTTCAGAATGAACCAACCGACAGCCATTGAGCAGAATTAACTGCTGTTAAAAAAATGGGAGTTAGCAGTGCACACACCTGCCACACTTTAAACGACCTCATTGGAACACCCAAATAAAGTTCTGATGTTCTAGTAGACTTTTCCTGACATGTTTGTCCGTCTAAGAGAAACCTGAAAGTCGTGTGTTAACAATGACTGCGATTTGATTAGCAATTCCAGCTGAAGAAAAACAGACCCATAGGATGATGTTTGGCAGTCACGTTAGTGGTGGAAAAAGTTTGGAAACAATTTCTCTCGCGCTAATTTTGTCATATCAGAAAAAAAAAAAAACAGCATCTGAAAAGCGGTGTGTAGACTTTTTATATCCACTGGACCAATCTTTCCGTCTTTGAGTCTATCGATCTCATCCATCGATCTCGAAAGCAGCACAAACAAGACCTTGCAGAAAATGTGATCACAATTAAATTCTCTGCGAATAGCTGAAGTAATACACACAGGGTGAGCATTGTGTTTTTTTACCTGATAACGCGCAGTGGAAGGATGGCAGGATGAATGAATGACTGGATGAGCGGAAGGAGGTCATGAAAGCGTCATCTGTTCTCCTCAGCCAGCCGAGCGAGGCCCCTCTCTGAAACATTGATGAAGAGAGCACCGATCAACTTTCCACGTCACAAAAGGGGACGATTAAAAAATAAAAAAAAGTCACAACAAGCTCGAACGCGACAGAACTTTTTGCAAGACTAGATTTTTTTTTTTTTGTAGGACCTATTTAATTAAAATCTCGCACCTGGTGAGACGGGTCATGTCTTTGTTGTCATTCATTCAAAAAAGGCTAATTTTGATTTTTATCGATTGATTTGAGTTTTGGTAGTAGTTGTAAGAAGTAGTGGTGGTAGTAGTGTTAAATAGTCTTGGTGGTGGTGATAGTTGTACTCGTGGTGGGGATATTAGTAATGGTAGTAGTGGTACTAGTAGAGGTAGTGGTTGTAGTGGTAAGTAGTAGGTTGTGGTGTTTGTCATGGTAGCCCCGCGAGTAGTGGTTTTAGCATAAGTGGGAAGGAGTAATTGTGGTGGTAAATAGTAACAGAGATGCTTCACTGTTGGTAATCAGACACAAAGAGTCCGATGACGAGCAGGGGCATGACACCTACAATGTGACGGTAGAAATTAGCTTACCAGTACTTGTTTGAATAAATAACTCAGAGGTAACTTTGAATCTTCAAAGTTTTTCGAATCCAAACTTTTTCTCCCGTTTCTGACAACCTCTGCTTTGGGTAAAAACTACGCAGCCAACATTTCCCGCCACTGAAAAAAAAAAAAAAAAAAAAAACTACCAGGCTTTACAGAAGCATGCCCGTTTTCTGATCCAAATGTTCAGGAGATGAAAGTTCCGAAGATTTCCATAAATCTCTCAAGGCGAAGCATTCCTGAAGCTGATGGACAACAGATGAGCAAGTCACGTGACATTCACCCAATTCCCCCCAAAAAACCCGTCAAGAGCTCCTCTTGGATTTATTTCACATCGTAAACCATTTTTTTTCAACCTGCAGGAATAAGACTGATGATTCCTTTGTAGTGTCTTTCCTTAGCCCCCCATACTACGGTCGGTACATTAACCCACGACGACATTAATATGCAAACCACACACAGACTCAAACCCACAACCTCAGAACTGTGAAATCAATGTGCTAACCACTAGTCCAGTGCTGACCTATTGTACATAAAATAAAAAAAAACAGCTAAATGTCATCCATGGTAACGAGAACATGAAATTCGATGCTCACACTTGACTTAAACATGATTTTGCAAAACAAGTTAGCCATCCAGATTTTTGGCGCCATCTAGTGGTAAATAAGTGCACTGTCGGACAGAGAGGAACCCCCGCCCCACAAGGGTTGACGATGGAAAATGTAGTCATACTTTCGAGAAATAATAACGATGAATTAAGTTGCCAATTATTGTATCTTAAGTACACAACATCCATACTATTGGGTGTAAATATATTTTGAATAAAAGTTGTTAGCTTACCGTCAATATCACTATTTTTAAAAGGTTTGAAAATGACATGGCTTTAGGCTAACGACATGTAAAACGTACTCAGCGAATAAACAGTGGAGAGTTGTTATATACGTGAGTAGTAAATTACATGAAAGAAGAAAATTAGAATCAAATCATGTAGAAAATGGATTTTTAAAAAGCAAATTTATTGTCATGGACAAATGTAACAAGAAGAGTCTAGTCTTCTGCTTCAGATTCGTCGTCATCCTGGCTAATCTGGAAGTAGCGCAACTCATATGTTTCCTTGTCGGAGGCCACCACTCTCAGCCAATCACGCAGGTTGTTCTTCTTCAGGTACTTCTTCGTTAGGTACTTTAAATACCTGGAGGGGACGGGCAGGCGCAGTTTTCAATACCGAACCACATGAGATGCAGGAAATTAGGGGGAAAAAAAGGCAGGACAGTACTTTCGAATTGTCCCACCTTTTGGAGAACTGTTTCTCAGACATGACATTGATTTTGTTCTTCATGCGGCCGACCGACACGATGGTTCCGAGATTGCCGGTCTTGCCATCGACCTTGATCTTCTCTTTCAGGAAGGCTTCCTATTGAGCAGAGCACAGTGACACGCTAGGGAAGGGAACCCTAGCACAAAGGGAGCTAGGGAAGGGAACCCTAGTCCACAAGCCACGTTAGCAGCCCGCTAACCAAAGCACATGTTTCCGGCAATAAAATGTCTTGTTTTTTTTCCTCTTTTTAAAGCAAAAAAATCCAGACCGCTTACAAAATTGGCAGAGTCCATGATCCCATCCTCGACAGGGTGCGTCAGGTCCAGGCTGAAAGACTAGACAGGCGCCTTTTTGCTCTTCTTGCTCTTCTTGCTGACAAATTGCTTTTTCTGACGGATCTGTGACGTCACACCACAGACGTCAGATCAATACACACGTAATCACTCCCCATCTACTGTGTAGTATCTTTGCCATTCTCTAGTGTTGTTTGTTATATGCTGCAATGGATCTTCAGAATTAATTACAAGTCAATCATTTTGAGTTTAAAACAATCACAAGTAATGTTATAAAAAATATCTTGAATACAAGTTCGGCCGTCAGTTGTTTGGATTCGATTTGAAAATATACTCCCACTCAACATTTGAAGACACGTGCCAGCTAGCGCTGGTAAGCTAGGTTCTTTCGATGGTTAACATGAGAGTTTAAATGTGCACAGATATAAACCAGTAGCTTTCTATGTCGTTGAAATCATACATAAATCTTGGCTTGACGTGTAAAACCAAGTGCAGACATCGAAATTAATTTAAATGGAGTCGAGGAGCCGGGACTTACGGGTGCCATGTTGGACAGAAGGAACCGGAAAGGAGGACCCGGAAGTGGCGTAACGCAAGGCTGTCCACCCCTGACCAAATATAGTCAACGCAACAGAAATAAACTTTTTTTAAAAATTAAAAACATATTTATCAACTTTTTAATCGTACCAATTGACACGGATGTGGTTTTTATTTATTTTTTTGTTCAAAGGTTTGAGCGGTACAAACATGACGTACGCTCCGAATGTCCACGACAAAAACTCACTTCGTGAGCGAACCCATTAATCATTAATTGCTCGGAAGCCTCGCCCCAGGCCACACTAGAATCGATGTAGCATGTATGACTCAAAAACTCTACCACGAGGAGACATCAACACACGTTCTGACTCACTTTTGCGAAATGAAATGATTCATGGAAACACACTCGCACCATCTCTTGGTCTGGACAAGATGGGAGTTATTTTCAGGCAATGTTTACTTGGAAACTTATGTTACCACCTCTCCATGGCGAAGAATTAGTATTAGAGTGAATAAGTTTGGTTTCCTTTTTACATAATTTCCAAGTTGTTTTGAAACAATTTAACTTGAATTACTAAGAGTGGGTAGGACGTTTTTCCCTTCACTACTAATTGACCCATAACACTAGTATGATGGATATAAAATAGCCAGACAGGTGATAGAAAGTCATTTTAGCATTTATTCAATATCCTTGATACAGGTACTCTACTAGTGTGTTGAAATATGGTTCATTTGGACCAAAACGTATGGCTTACAGCAGGAGTGAATTTCATCTACTCCAAGCACACTTACCAGCCATTTCAGACAAAAGATACACAAAAGGAGACATGTTTGGAGTTTATCCATTTGTTTCAATGTTTTATTTCAGCCATCTCCGGTCAGGTGACAAAGGCCTCGAGTGAACAAAAAGTTTGCGGCCGCCACCCTCCCCAACCCGAATTTGAGTTCCTCAAACAGAAAGCTCACTGCAAAGCGCCTCCCACATGTCTGAAGCTCACACTGCATTCAAATTGCGCCTCTTGGATAAGACAAATAAAAAAAAGCATTCGTTTAGTATTGGGAGGATGGCTGGGGGGGGGCGCTGCACGCGGTCCTCACAGCATTCTGAGGGAAGAAAATCACTCGCGTGTCTAAGTGGTATGGTGGGACTTGGTGGGGGACTTCCTGGTTTTGGAATTGGTGGTGCTGGGGTGGAGCTTAAGCAGCCAGAAGTGCTCGCCGCCGCCAACATCCTGTCAATGGAGAAGCTTGACGCGAGAGGGGCGCCCCCAAGCAGATCTAATATCTAGGGAGGCCCCTAGCCTCGCTCTAAAAGATTTCTATCTAAAGAAAAAAAAAAAGGATGCAAAAGCTGAATCCCATTGTTGTTATTTCAACATTCAGGAATGTGAGCAACACTGTGAAGGCGAAAATAAGCAGATGCAAGGAGCAGCTGATAATGATTTTTGTCTTTTGACGTCATTTTCTACAAAGTCAACGCGTTACCCCCCAAAAATGCGAGTGATCAGGCAGCGAGCTGCACCCAAATATTCCCGACAGCGATGGGAGAAAGCAAGATGCGAGGAAATCAAGAAATGACAAAAGAATGATTGAGGTTGTCAGTGAAGGCCGACGCTTTGGTGACAGAACCAATGAGAATGCAAGAGACTGGTTGTGGGTGGTGCTTGTTGCCGGGGCTGCAAGGTCCATCTCCTTATTTGTTGGCCAGGACCTTGGTAGCCACAGCGCACTCCTCCCCCATGGCGGACATCACGGTGACCTGCGAAGCCAGCGAGACGAGTGAGTGGTCATGTGATGGGCGCGTGGGGTGCTATGCCGGGTCACTGACGTGTAACTCACCAGAAATTCGTCGCCCGCCTCAAACTTTGTCTCGATTTCCTTGCCGACTTCGTTGTCGGGAACGCGCAGGTCCTCCCGGATGTCGCCGTTGTCGGCCATCAAGCACATGAAGTTGTCGGTGATGTTGAGCAACTGAGAAGTGAACGCGTGGTTTCGGGGGTTATTGCCATAAATGACAACTGACAACTTGAGAGTATTACAAGAAATACCAAAGTCAGGGCAGTCAAATTAGTTTTCAGGACACATTATAGCATGTTGAAGCAAAGTAACTGATTTGAGGAGTTTCATTCAGACAAATATAGGGGTTTGCCGCCATCTTGGTGTTGAGGGACTTTGTTGACGTGAGTTGAAGAGTTTCATGGAGACAAATGTAGTGATGTGCTACCATTTTGGGGCAAAGGCACTACTGAAGTCAACTGAGAAGTTTCTATTAGACAAAAGTATGCTTTGCTGCCATTTGGCTGCCAAAGAACTACATCCAAGTAAACTGAGGAATCTCACAGAGACAAAAATGTTGCCAGTATCTTTGTGTTCGGGACTTTGTTGAAGCGAGTTGGTGTTTCGATTTAGACGAGATCGCTTTGACACCACCTTGGTGTTCAGGTGCTGTCAATGACGAGGTTTCATTACAACAACAAAAAAGTCAAAGAACTATGCCAAAGTGAGGCGAGGAGTTTCATGTAAACCAAAGCGGTGATTCATCAGCACCTTTGTGTAAGGGAAAATACTGTACATTGAGGCGAGGAGTTGTATTTCGAGAAAAAAATTGCGATGAAAAGACTAAACCCGGTATCGTGATAACACCATGAGTTTCACACCGCGTTCGAAAGAGTGTGGCTCAGCGTTCCACACTTGGGTGAGTGAACGGTGTGACTTGGGCGGACATACCTGATAGTCTAGCCTCTTGATGGAGGGGACATCCATGTTGTGGGTGGAGGGGCACATATCTTCATACTTCTTCTGGGTGAAGATGTCGATGCCAGTCAAGTTAACCTGCGTAACAACAGAATTGATATTCAATAAATGAGATCTGCATTTTTATTTTTTTTTGTCAATGCAAAAAATCGAAACTAAAGGAGGCGTTGCCGTCACGGTTCAACATCATCAGGCAGGAAGAAATGGGCAACTATTCTGGGGCATCACCTTAGCGTGGCCGTGCTTGCCAGTCTTTGAGGTGGACATCTCCACGATCTTGCAGGGACGGCCTTTGAGCACCACAAAGCCATTCTTACGCAGGGCAGAGCACTGCATAGGATACGTGGCCGAGGCGCCGGACTCCACGGTCCCGAAGTCAAGCTCGGGATCTGACATGATGCAATGCTTCTGGGCTACTGGAATGCAAAATTGGCACATTAGCCGTGTCACAAAAACTATACAGCATATGTGTATATATATATTTAAAACTATTAAATAGAGAAGATGCTTTCACCCCCACCAGACAAATCATATTGTCATGGCAATGTTTACTAGGATCTGGCTGACATTAGTGCTTTTTGAAATTGGCAAAATGTAATTTATTTTTTTTAGACATTAATGCATCATAACACAATGACACCCCACCCTGGCAAAAAAATATTGATGTAAAGTTAAATAAATACAAAACAAGGGCGACATATGGTAAAAACAGTTATATATTGTTTAAATCATGTCTTAATTGTTGTAAGCGAATGTGTGTGTGCTTTTAATGATAACTTTAATTTAGCTTCTAAAGATATTTACAAACAAAATATGACTATCATTAGAACGAAAAAATTACTGCTTACAAGCATTTAAGAAATCAGAGCCATTGATTATGACCAAATTCTTAATAACAAATTACCTGTGGTTATAGTCACTGTTTAAATGTTTGCTTTCCACAACTTTTAACGTGTCACACAAGCTCAACCATTTGCCAGAGTTTGTGGAAAAGAGCAACAAGTGACTAAAACGACAACAACATGACGCCGGCATTCACTGATAGCTTTGAGTAAAGCGCCGAACACAAGAACTAAAGTACCAAACAAAAATGACTTTTGGTGACAGTGAAACGTGGACGCACTGACGACGCGCTCGCGTCAACACGAGGCTGCTTGCTCATTCAGCTTAATTTTAAACTATTGACTTGAATGATCGGGGCGGATAAAGTACAATATTAGATTCACCGCTCACCACAAAAATAGACACACGTGACAAAGTTAGAAGTTTGAGCTGGATGCCAACATATTAAGTTTGAAAATGCTAACTTGTGCTAGCTGGCCTGGGTTTTTCCGAATGATCCTCGGATCCGTCCCACTGTCTACACGTTTCCCAATTCACATTTTATCCTGACATGCCTCCAAAATGTCTTCAGTCGGTTCGGGCGGAGTTGTCGAGTGTCAACAAAGGAACGTGAAAACGATTTGCGAGTCGAGATTTAATCTCGAAAAGGGGCAAACCACACACGCGGGGCGCTCGAGTACCGTTATCTGAGTTAGCGACGCCATGCTAAGAGCGGCTAGCCGCCTTAGCAGCCCATTCAATTAAGCCGTCATTAAAAACCACAACGGCGCCCCCTCCAAAGTGCTGCGCACGGAACCCGCTCCAAATCCGAGCCGAGCGGGCCGCTTTCCTCGCTCGCATCGGCGGTCGCCGATGGAAAGCGGCCCCAAAGCGTGACCGGTAGCAGACAGAATGACAAGCGACTTGCAGCGGCCGCGCTGCGGCGAGCCAACGAAGGCCTCGTTGCCGCTATGCTTTCATTAGAGCCTGGCCGCTTGTGCGACGACAGCCGGGCAAGCTCGCTCGAAATGCCGAGGAAAGCGACAGCTGAAGCCGCCCGGCCGGAGCCAAGCTCCGTTTGCTCGTTCCCCGTTCGCCATCACCTGCGCCGAGGACCGTTATTTCCCTTCTTTTTCCCCCTCGAGGCACAAACACGCGCCATGCCACACTTACCTTCCAAGGAAAAGAGGAGCGAAAGTGCGCATGCGCGTCCAACTTACTGCAGCACCCGTAAGAGGGAGGGGGGCTAAGTGGCGGCTGGGGGGGGGGGGGCGTTTATGTGCCTACTCCGGCTTGCCAGGTTGGAGCCCTCACATGGCAACCCGGCGCAAACACATTGAATACAACGTTCCCTCACTTTTCGCGGGTGATTCGTTCCGCGATCCCCTGCTATATGTGAATTTACATAAAGGAGAGGTTGATCAATTTTTTTGGGAGGGGAGGAGATTGCCGGGTGGGGCGGGGTTACATCTCTATTCAGCCATTAACTTTTTAAATGCAAATTGAAGAACAAATGGCTGCCGTTGTAAATCTTTGTGCTTCTGGCGGAAGTTATTCTTCGTTTGTCTTCCATTTAGAAGACAATCAAGAAGAACGATAGGATAACAAATTTTCGGTTTGCACAAGGATTTACTTTATCAACCCCACCAGGATTGTACCATTAGCTACAATGGATGCAGGATTCTGGTTTAGGCAAGTCATTTTAAACTAAAAAATAAACTTTTAATGTGATTAAGCGTATCTTGTTTTCCTCCATTCACATGAATTTTTGAATGCAGATTATAGTCATTAGCTTCTCCTGAAAATTGCTGCCAATCACCAAAATTTATGTGCACATCTCGACTCATGCTCACTTCAAACTTTGACAACATTGGGTTGCAAATTGGATTTAGGCAGGCGGTTAAAATTTTATTTACTTAAATTTGAGTATTCACAATTCAAAATGGCGACCAGCTTCTGCGCTTGACACGTTCATGTCAAAATACTCTGAAGAATGTGAATCTTACGTATTTTGCCAGTTGTGAGAACAAAAAAACAAGAGATGTTGTGCTTGTACAAGAAGAGGACGTTTATTTGTAGAATTCTAACATCACAGATGCGTGTCCTTAGATTGAGGTTGTTGTTCGAGTCCGGTGATCCAGATGAGGTGAAAACACGCTAACGTGCGTGTCACTCATCTGCGCTCACACACGCACGCACACACGCACACAGTGACAGCTGTTGACAGTCTTGATACAAAAATTGAAATACAAATATCACGATAAAAACGGTGTTGACCTTTTTTTTGTTTGTTTGTTTAGAAAGTGTTATAGCTATGTTTTCTAATCTGTAGAAAGACACCTAAGCCTTGACCAACATTATTTTTTTGTCTTTCTCTGGAACTCAAGAGTAATATATACAGTGTAAATATATATATAGAGAGAGCACAGAGTGTCCCCGAAGGTGAACATCTGATATGTGATGGAAAAGGCTTCGGGGGAGGGGTGAGGGTGGGGGGGGGGCATGTTGGCTTGCTTCCACCTATCACGTACATCGATTAGGAAAAAAGATTAGGAAGTCAAACATGAGGCTCTTGTAGGCCAAACAGGCGCACGAAAACAAATGCTGGAAATAAAAAACACATCCAGTTTGTGCTCGGGAGGAGGGAGTGTCCCGCCTATTTGTAGAGTGGGAACAACCCCCCCCCCCAAAAAAAAATTGAGAAATAAATCACAAATTCAGTGGAACACCAATGAATAAACCATGTGATGTGCATGACTTATTTCATTGTTGCAATGTTCACAGGTACATTTTTATGGAAAGCCGCTTGAGCATTTACATCATATCCGTGACACCCAAGGTCACTCGTAAGACAATTTTCGTGGACGAGTAAAACATTTTCTTGTATGACATTTCTGCACACTGGGAGGCCGCGGTAGATTCTGGCATGTGCAATACGTGGGGTCAAAATGCTACGTTTTCCACCGGCGTCATCAATCAGTGGCGTTAAAAGCGATCTTCCAGTTTTGCTTTGGGTAACTGTTTTTTTGAGGGGGCGGAGCTAACGGTCGCTAGTTGTCGGCAAAAAGTGAGTGGTGCGTCACGGCCGCATGTCTTAAGTTTGTTACGGCTTGAACAATCGGACGAAGAGCATATAAGTAGAAGGACCTTAAGATGGAAATGAAGGATATGGAAGAGATGCTCGGCTGGGCTTTCCATCCGTTTTGCTCAGTGGTCAAGAATACAAGTGGAGTTTCCTGAGTGATGTCGGAGCAGCGGTGCGTTCAAGGACGCAGACATCGGCAGCACTACTACACTCACAGCTCGGTGCACCGTGTCTCTTATTTTGCAGCAGAGGTCCAGTAAAATGATCCGGTAATCAATTATTGTAGCACGTTGCCGAGCAGTGGCAGGCAAAGGTTTTGAAAGAGTCGCCTTCATCTTGCGTACTTTTCACGCCGCTGTTGCCGAAACGGCAAACGACGAGTTTCAATTCTTGGATGTGAACATCGAGTACCCGCTAGTCTACTTTTTCTTTGCATTAAGAATCGATGACGTCACAGTATTGTGGCGTCCAAGCACAAAAGTGGGTTTGAATGCAAAATAGACAACTAAAGCAAGTAGCTGTGTTGGGAATCATTCTCTCTTGAATCACTGAATAAGATATATTCTTTTTTTAATGGCAATAAAATGAGATTGTAGAGTCTGCTAAAGACACCCAAAACAATCCTAAAGAAATAAAACAGAAAATTACACCATTTGTGTTACACATGGCCTCCCCTTTCCGTTCGCTAGCTTATCGCTAACGCCGAATAGCATCTATGTTCCCGTGCTTTTTAACCCTTTCGGCAACAGACCGAAGACAAAAAAAATGGAGGAACAGTGGCTAGGGAGGATTTCCCGACACAGCCAGTTGAGATAAACAATGTTGTGCAATAAAACTCAGATGTGTGCAGGTGTGCTGGGTAGCTAGCGTGCTGCGTCCTAAACAGCGGGAGTATTTACACGATATGATAGAGGGCAGGGAGGAGTGGGAACGCCGTTAGCAGGGTCCCTTCCTTTAATTTTTTTATTTTAAATTAATATGATAACAATTGAAAGGTTTAGACATCGGTAGCCGGCACTGAGCAAACTTCAAAAGTTGCTCACTGGCGTTTTGGTGGTGTGTGCTAACAATGAGGAGAAAGAAAAGATTTTTGAGTGGCACTTTTGAGTCAAACTGCGAGCAGTGGTCGGATATAACCAAGACCAAGTACTTTGTTTTTGTACTGAAGTAGATTTTTTTTTGGGGGGGGGGCGATGGGGGGGTATCTGTATATTTCTTTGTTACAAAAATAACAAAAATGTTTTCAATGAGCCTATTGACAATAAAAATCAATTTGAGTCTAGATTTTTTTCTAAAAAAAAAAAACAAAAAAAAAAAACAACTCAATGTGGATTGTACAGCAAAAACAAAAGTCAACGCCGCATGTTAACTCGTGACTAAGGTTGCAAATTTGCAGGAATTTATGAATGGAGGTGTATTTTGCTTATGACAACAAAATCTTTCTATTAAATTGCCTTTGTACTAATCAGTTCTGCCAAAGTGGAGCTGAACTCCCCCCTAAAAAGGAATGATCACATTATTTCTTCCAAAATCAAAATCTTTTTCCTCATTTTCCTTCAGCAAAATGTTATTTTTAATTTTTTTTTTTTAACTACAAAGTTTCCACAGGGCTCACATTTATGAGCCACTATTGGACAAAGACTTATTTTGAAAACAGGCAGACCAAGTGTCCATTTGGGAGTAAAAAGTGTTTCATTTTGGTTCCTGGCGCAATACGAGTGGGCGGGCGTGAAAAGACGTCGCTGGATTGAAGCAGATCCAAAGGAGGAAGTGGTCCCGCAAAAAGAAGTGATGTGCTACAAACCGTCCGCAGATGCCCGCTCGGCCGCACGGGGAGAGCGAAGGGGCTACTTGGCCTCACGTCGGGCCACCTCTCAAGGAGCGAGCGCCACAAAGGCATCGCAGAGCTCTGCCGGACCCTGAAAGGTCTATCCTTAACCACCCCCCCTCCCCCGGGAGCACGGCGCCAGGTTGCTCGTGGAGTTGGGGTTACCAGTTCATCATGGAGCTTCTGTTGAGGGTCATGAAGAACACTTGGCTGCTGCCTCCCGAACGCACCGACGCAAAGAACACCTGTACAGGATGAAGAGGTGGTCCTCAATTTTTTTTACAGGCATATATTCTTTATCCTCAACAAAAACAACTCATATTGCTGCAGCTTACTGAGGGGTTTATATATCCGTCTTATACTACCCTCCACCCCAATGTAGTTCTACACGGCAGCAAAGCGCAATTTATGTTGAAATGAAACTCCTCAACTCACTTCCAACATTGTTCTTTGACACAAAGGAGCCAGTAAAGCAAAACGTCTCGAAATCAAGAAGCCTCTTACACCAAGATGGTGCTAAAGCACTATTTTTTGTCAAAATGAAACTCCTCAACTCACTATTGTACATCCAGACGTGCGCACTGTACTCTTTTTAGATGTTTTGGACTTCCTGTATTTCTGTACTGATTCAAACGATCCACGTCAAAAGTCTCACCTTTTACATTTCACCAAATAAAAGAATCCCACCGCATTTTACCGCGGCTTCAGAATTCAAAATGCAATTCCCGACCCTAAATTCCATTCTTTCTGTCGCCCACCTTTCCAACTTCCAAACTTGGGAAGAACATTTCAAGTTGAGGCGCTCACCTTGTCGTTTCTCTCGGACAAAAACTTCAAGCGCTGCGCTCGCTTGTGCATGAAGACCCCGTCCAGGTGTCCCGTCTCCACCGAGCGGATTTCGATGGCCTTCTCCCCCCAGCCCATGATCTGGTTGGAGTGGATGTAGGCTGTACACACACACACACACACACACACACACACACACACACACACACACACACACACACACACACACACACAAAGTGTCTTGTAATCAAAAACAGTGGTACCTTGATTTACTGGTACTACTATGGAGCCTCTAAGCTAACCGCATTTAGCGCGTTGCAGTGAAACAGT